GATTTGATTTGAAAAGTGTCCGATTTGGTTTGAAAAGTGTCCGATTTGGTTTGAAAAGTGTCCGATTTGGTTTGAAAAGTGTCCGATTTAAAGTGAAAATGGTATATATACATCTCATTGCAAATGGCCGGATCGACCTGTTGGGGTTCCCTTGTCAGCCTTTTGTTGAACGCGTATGCAAACACACACATGCGAGTATGCGAAACAATACAGTAATGCACTTGCCCGCTTCAAAAACTGGTGCAGAACGACTTTGCCAAACCGCACCAAACGCAGCCGCACTGCCACGCCCCACCGGTCCGCAATGATGAGGACTGTACGTAAGATCCGTTGGCACGCGCCTGCGCACGCTGACCCAACATATGGACGAAGCCGTAACTTTTCTGCATTAAGATTTGCATGTGGTCTGCTTGTCTTTTTTATCGCTATCGTCTTTGATACAACTTAGGCCTAGTAAATCTCCGATTATAAGTGATATCAGACATAATTTTGTGAAGAAACCGAGAGGGATAGTGTGCTGTCGAGCTCCGAAGGGGGTGAAAAGAAGGAACGAGACAAAGTTCGCCCATAATTTCTTGAGAGGCTTGGGAATGGTCCGACTTCGGAGTGGAGGACGGCACAGGGTGCGTGATGCATTTCCAATTTCAAAGCAAGTTCCAGATAATACCACAATCGAAAAAGTTCTAAAACATATTATTTGGTTGATATTGTAGAAGAATATATCGTTTTCGCATTGAATTCCCCATTTTTATTAGCGAGTTTTAATGCTTTAAGCGAAATTTAACACATTTACACTTCTCAAATTAAATTCAACACTATTCGTGCCGGTTAGTTTTTTTTCTTGAGCAACAGAACCGTACATTTTTTGTGCAGAAAAGTCTTGAGTCGACAGTTATTGCTGTACTCTTATTAACACCAGCGATCTGAGCAGCGTGATCCTTTCGGATGTTTTTTTACTGCAGTGTACAAGACTAATCGGCGACGGGGCTGGGGGGGGGGCGGACATTTTGCACTTTCGCTGCTTCACTAGTTCCGGTTTACAAGTCTCACTCTGGTGAAACTGTGAACTCTTGTGAAGCTGGAGCAAGCTCGTCGAGCCACCATGGTAAAACCTGTCAACTCAAGAAAAGGCTCTCTAGATGGGTGGACACGTTGATGGGAAGTAGCTAGAGTGCAAAATCCCCCTCCCCCTCCCCTACCCCCTTCTGGCTGTGCTAGAGCAGACGTAAAAGATGACTCAGGTTGAAAAGTATTGAATTTGAAGTGAACCTAGTATACATCAACCCCACGTAACGCTTGGAACCAAAGATCACAAGCAGATACAGTTTGCTTAGACTATGTTGGTTTTTTTTTTCACCCCCCACAACTTTGCATGAGCGTTCTGAGCGTGGGGCAGGCGTTCTTGTATAGCAAGCGTTTCAGCAATTAAGGGCAAAGTATGGAGTATGTTGGACGAAACCGTTAAAACATCGGCTTGCGTTCAAAATACTAGACCGACCCCTGTATTTCCCTAGTCGTTGAAAACGCTGGCATACGCTCAAAAAAGGATGAGCGCACTCTTAGCGCCGTGTCCTCTGTCGGGGAATTGGTTCCATGTTCTGGTTTCCATCTGTTGAGTTTCTGCACGAGAATAAGCTCAGTTCGCATAACTCATGGTGTGAAATGGTTTCAGAGCTTGCAAAGGCCAAAGTTACAAACTAAAGTTGATGTAGACCGCGAGAAGAGAACTTGTTGACCATGGCAAAGTTTTAGCCGAAATGCAGGCGAGGTATGCCAAGGAGCATCAGTCGCTCGAAGCCACATCCAAAGAAGTATTCACCAGATTTTTGCCAACTTCCTCAATTAGCAACTCACTGTGATGTTCGCCATATTCAGACAACGGCGCTGCCAAGGAGAAATCGAGGCAGGCAGAGAGGAGATGGGGAAGGGTGAGGTTGAAACGAAGCGGTAGGAAGGTAGAGGAAGCTGCCGGCGAGGCTCCAATGATCCTGTCAAGTGTCAGCACTGAACAACGAAGTCAAAGAGCTTACAGAAAAGGCTTATCATGTTCCTTCTGTTCAGATCTTGAAAGACGAATTGGCCAATCTGAAGGTGAGGTCTCAACTGGTGGATGTCCAGCAGCATTGAATCTACTCTGATTCACGATGTCTAGGTCGATCATGCCCGTGAGCTTGTTGACGCTGTGGTGAATGCAAAACACGCGACACAGCTGGAAGAGCAGGATCGCGCATCAGCGAAAATTGCCGAATTAGAAGAGAAGACTATGAATTTGTTGGAAACGGTTGCGCGAAAAGCGAAGTAAGCGGGAGTGAAGGGCCTATGCGACGACCTTTCTGCAAATCAGAACACGGAAAAGCTACCACTTGGGTCGAGGGTGATTGCATACTGAGGGTAGTTTACTGCATGGGGTTTTGACGCTGTTCCACTGTTACCTAACTCAAAAAAACTTTTAAATTTCCTCTGAACAACTTCCGGCGGAGCTTATTCAGTTCAATGATCTTGAATATTATGTTCACCTTCAGCGCTGCCGCGATTTGGCACCAGCACCTATCTCACCAAAACCGATCAAAACTTGTGACGGGGCCATTCTTGGCGCAGGCGCAATTTCGGCTGTAGACTCTTATTCCTCCTGCGCTCGTGCGCGAATTAAGGGCCTGAGGGCAATAGCCAACGAGGAAATCGCTCCTTCTCCCGGGGTCAGCTTTAGCAAAGCGCTAAATCGCGGTGGGGATCGAAAAAAAAAATTGGCGCAGTTTTGGCGCGAAATGGCGTCAGCGACCAAAACGGATGTCATATTCGCGACCAGCATGTCAAGTAGGCCCCGCACTCATGTTTCCATTGATTTTGGTAAGAAAGGTGGTGGCGTCAAATGGTGCCAACGCTGCATCTTATTCGTGATCAAGACACCGAATAACATGGATAGGCAGAATTTCACCAAAAAATCCTTGAGTTTTCGGAGTTAAGTTGAATAGTGCCGCGTATTTTTCTGTATTTCCCTTTGATCATCTCTGCATCTTGTGCTACAAAACAGAGAGGCTCTAGAGATCTTAGGATCAAAAGGCCCAAAACTTCGGATTATGATGAATTCAAGCGGTGTTATCGGCTTTACATTTTAATTATGCGTTATTGTTTTGGAGTTATTCCTGCTGCGATAAGGAATTTTGCACCACTTGCTCTTTGCTGCGCCAATTCTTCAAAATCCAGGGCAGGTTTTTGATTGACATTTTTCAACAAGTGTGAGGTTGGCCAGAATTCCATTCTCTGCGAGTTCTTGAATAAAAACCGCATAGCGTCCGCGCCGCAGGCGCCTTTGCCAAAACAACAAGAATTCGAAATGTGCTGGGGACTAATCCCAGTGGGGGACGAGACCCCGTGAACAAGAATATAAAATTTGCTTTACGTCTTGTGCTTGCGTTTTAGTTGCTAGCGCAGAGGCAGTCACACTATAACAAAGGAACTAGCCATCTCCACCATCGGGCAGAATTTCGATGACAATGTAGCCTGAATTTCGAAGAGTGATGCAGGTTGGCCTGAAGTTTCGAGTGAATCGTCGTCCTCAGAGGCCCAAACATAACTCAAGGTTTAGGTTGAGGCGTTTGGTGTGTAGAGGTTTAGACCTTCTACACCGCCAAACGCCTCGACGCTCCTGAAGTTTTTGACGGAGTTTCAAGAGAACTACTGAAAAACGCGATTGTGAGGAATCGACCAGTCACCAGACCGGTGGTGAAGTCCGTTCCTCCACGTGGTGCCACCGAGTACTGTTCGCTTTCGCGGGCTAAGCAGAACACGGACAAACACAGGCCTTCGTGACGGGCCGGCTTACGAACACCCCATGTCACATCATCATGTTTAACTATGCCTTATGAATTTCGAGATAATGCTACGGCGTCCGCGGGAGCCGACGCGCACTCGCAAGGCCCGACGAGTGTGAAAAATATGCGAGGGTCCTCGTTGCAAGGACGGCATCGGGGGGCAACCAGGCTAGTCCGAAAGACGTGCAATGTGTTGAAAGGCTCGTATTGCGACGCTGAATGTGGGGACGCTGACTGGACGCTCGGATTTAGCAGAAGCCCTAGAGCAGGTGTAACAAAGCCTTTAATTGTATAATCCAGCCGCCCGCTCCGAACTCGGCACAACGAAGCCTGGACGGCGGAGGATTGACAAAGTGCATGGCTCTGGACGGAAGAAGGTTCGAGAAATGAAGAGGCTCTATCACGCGTTTCTCGAGCACAAGTCGGCTGACAACTGGCGGCAGTATCGGGAAGCGAGGAATGCGGCAAAGACGGCCGTGGCTGCTGTGAAGGCCGCTCACTTCGATGATATCAGCAAGAAGCTGGAGACGCGCGACGGTGAGCGGTACCTGTACGGACTTGCCAAATCTCGTCATCGCCAAACCGAAGACATTGAGAAGTTTTTTGGCATAAGTGATGAGAATGGCCACCTTCTGATGGACCGAAAAAGGGTATTGCAACGATGGCGTGAATACTTCGAGGGCATCTCAATCGCCCATCCCGCTATACCCTGTACCGCACCAACATATGGTCCCGTTCAGAAGATCACCGTACAGGAAACAGAAGCTGCTCTGAGGAAGATGAAGGCCGGCAAAGTAACAGGCCCCGACGACATAGCAGCTGATTTGTGGAAGTCACAACGCTGGTTTTCTGCGGGTTGGTTGACGAAACTCTTCAACCAGATCGTCGAAGAGAAGAAGGTGCCCAAGGACTGGCAGCAGAGCGTGACGATCCCGATTTGGAAGAAGCGGGCGGCGTGGATTATACATTTCACGGCAGATTGCTCGAACTACCGTCCGATTCGCCTTCTTTCGCGCACTATTAAAATCTTTGAGCGATCTTTGACTAATCTTTGACGCCCGCGCTCGTGATATCGTCCAGCTTTCCACCAATCAGTGTGGCTTCGTGGCGGGTTGTAGCACCGTCGACGCCATACATGCCGCTCGCCTATTGCTGGAGAAACACCGTGAGAAGCGAAAGGCTGCGTTTATACTTTGCGGCAGCGTAGCGTAGCGTAGCGCAGCGTAGCGTAGCGCTTCCAGCGTACGCCAGCGGCAGTGCCGGGGAGAGGATGCATATCGATCTAGCGTTCCCAGCGTCACCAGCGTTACGCCAGCGTTTCTCCAGCGTTTCACCAGCGTTTTGCTAGCGTTTGCAGCGGCAGGGGAGTAGAGACTATGGGAGAGCTGGAGGGTACAAAACACATCGATTGCGCGTCTCTCACTCACCCTCAGTCTCTACAATACACGTCGATTCCGCGTCTCTGACGGCCACATAGTCTCTACAATACACGTCGATTCCGCGTCTCTCACGGCCACATAGTCTCTACTCCCTGCAAGCAAAACGCTGGTGAAACGCTGGAGAAACGCTGGCGTAACGCTAGCGTACGCTAGCGTGACGCTGGTGACGCTGGGAACGCTAGATCGATATGCATCCTCTCCCACTGCCGCTGGCGTACGCTGGAAGCGCTACGCTACGCTGCCGCAAAGTATAAACGCGCTTTTCCTTCTTCGTTTCGTTGCCGTCATGGATGCCATCTCACGAGATCTTCAGAAGGAAGTGCCTTGGACCCTGCTTTACGCTGATGATGTGATGCTTGCTTGTGAAGATAAGAGCGCACTGGAACAGCAGGTGCAAGCTTGGGCCGAGCGTCTGGCGAAGTTTGGACTCAGGTTGAACGTCAACAAGACCGAGTACCTGACAACCGACCCAAATGAGCCGGGCTCCATTAAGATCGATGACACGGTGCTCAAGCGCACGGAAACATTCAAGTATCTCGGATCAGCACTTGCGTCCGATGGCAGTCTGAACTCGGAAGTGAGCGCACGAGTGAGTGCGGCGTGGTCTAAATGGCGATCCATGTCTGGGATCCTTTGCGACAAGAAAATGCCAGAGCGTTTCAAGTCAAAGATCTATCGTACTGTCGTCCGACCTGTCGCGTTATATGGTGCCGAGTGCTGGCCCGCGACAAAAGAAGTTGAGGCTCGCCTTGGTGTGATGGAGATGAAGATGTTGCGCTGGACGGCGGGCGTCACGCGATCGGACCGCATTTGTAACGATGTCGTGCGCAAGAAGTATGGTGTAGCCCCCATAGCAGAGAAAATGCGTGGAACGCTCCTTTGATGGTACGGGTACGTACTTCGCGCGAGGGCTTACACCGTTCGCAAAACTGGTCTCGAATCGAGGTACCTGGAAAGCGGCCAAAGGCGTCGCTAAAGCGCTGACTCGACACGTGCAATTACCGATTAAAAAGGAATAGCGCGATGCGGGCCGCATCAGTGCGATGTGCGGGAAAAAGGTGTGCATAGTATGATACAAAGAGCGGATCACTGCCATCGAGCAGAACAACGCTGAAAATGAAAGAAGACCATTTCACCGACCACCACAACATCGGCAACAGTGCCACTCGTTGTTCGCTGTTGTTAGTAAGTGAGACATATTGTTGCTGTTCTTATACAGCGAGTATAGTTAGGATTTGCACTTCTGCCCAATACTAATGAGAGCGTAGTGTGCTTATGACACATTGGCGAGCTATGTGAACGTGAGATGTGTGGCAGTTTCCTAAGTCGTGATGAAATGTGTGCTGGATAGGGACAGCGCAATGTGTCTCATTTACTTACTACAATTAATAGCGAGCGACATCGTTCCGCTCATGTGTTGATGACTAGTAAGTTCGTTTCTCACACTCGGGTTTTTCGGGTAGTTTCTTCTAAAACTCCTTTGAAAGCCTGTAGGGTGTCGGAGGCGTTGATGGCGGTACAGAGGCGTGCAACATACTTAAGTGTTTGAGCTGATGTATGTTTTGGCCTCTGAGGACGATCCAGTCGGGACCTCAGGCCATTTTCAGTAAGTCTTCCCTGACAACCTCTTAGGCAAATTAAATTAAGAACATTGTGCAAGCAGTTTCGAGCCTGCTGATCTTCTGAACTCTAATATGTCATGAGAAAATCATTGAATAGCAGTCTGTTCGCTGCGGCGGTTTAGTGGAGTGTAAACGCGGCGGCTCTTAAGTAGGCGGCCACCGCTTTTTTTTTGCGACGAAACTATTTTTTTTTTTTGCGACGAAACTATCATATCGTTCGCATCAGTCATTTTTCTCTGAATATTGTTGCTTACTCGCTTCAACAGCTAGTGGAGAGCAGCCTGACGGAGCGCCAAGCGAAGTCACGCTAACACGCTTTTTCATCCGCAGCGAACCAGCCTGTAATTAAAACCTCTTGTTTGGAGGGGTAATACTGAAAAACTCGGGCGCAAAACATGTAACAGGCTGTGTTGAGCAGTGTTTGTTCAATTTCTTTTTCGTCAGGAATGCCCAGTCCGTGCAACACATTAAAAAAACAAAAGGCCCAGTATAGTTATAAACTTATGTTTTTAGGAGTTGTGTCAATCTGCGAGGCGGCACAATGACTTTTGACGATTATGAATCTACAGAAGATGATGTGGTGACTCGTTTGCAGGCAATCATCGCAGAAGTTCGCGAAACAAAGCCTGGATTTAATATTTTCTGTAAGACTTTGGGGCTATAATTTTCCAATAGATTCAGATAATTGGTTGATTCACCATGATCTTATTCCAGCTCTAATTGGCCCAGATGAGGAGAAAATCAGATTCCAGCATGAGTATCGGACTCTAGATGTTGGGAGAGTACGATCAGTGTAAAAATCGCCTGGAAATCCTCACAGCCAGTAATGCGGTGAGTCAATCTTTCCTTTTTCTCTACTTTTATATGATCATACTCTTTGGGTTTTTTAAGAGCATTTCTGATCTCGGAAATTCCTACAATGAGGCCATCCCATTGTAGAGCTTTATTTTTAGCAGTTTGCACCCAATTCCGATGGCTCGAAAGAGGAAACTCTAAGAACTGTAGCAGAACAGTTCCAGGCTAAAATTCAGAAGTTGATTGCTGTGCATGCTAAGGATAGAGCTGTTCATGAAAAGGTGTGAGATTATTCTTTGATGTGCTGTCGATATATTAGGTTGATGCATATGTTTTTAACCCCGACTTTTTTGTAAATATCTCAATAGCGAACCAGCCTGAAGATTAGTGATACTCCATCACCAACCACTACTCGACGCCAACGATCAGGCAGATTGTCGATTTCATCCTCCCAGACGACGGGGGCTGAGACCCGAAGAGGCCGCAATGCCGCACAATCACCACCAGGGTGTCAGCTCTGTGGTGTGGAACCATAGGGGGTCGTAACTTGGCCGCTGGGAGGGGGGGGGTCGTAATCTCAAGGGTCACTCAGAGCCGAGCAATGGTTCGACATTTCAGTTGATAGTGGGAGTGGAGCTATGGAAGTCAAGATGTTTAAAAAATGAAGTTTATTATGAGTGTATTCTTTACAGCTTTAAATGCTACGTTTAACTTTTCATGGGAAATCCCCAAGAATGGGTTCGTACTTGGCCGCGGGGGACGTGGGAGTATCGCAAAAGTAGGCTCGCTAGGCATCAAACAGTACAAAGGTGTCATTGCTAAGGGTAATGGAACGGACGGAAAGCTTCAGAAGACCCGGATGTAAATAGGAATACAAAATAATAAAAGATTTATTAGCAATATAGCAAGAATAAATAAATAAATAAATAAGTGTCAGTTTATAGCATGAACTCGTAAGTACGTAGATGACTAAATAATACGTCTCAAACAGATTCGTGCGTGTTGTCCTTTACAAACCCTAAACAAACATCTGCTTGCATGGATAAAAGCACCTGAAATTAGAATTTACACCTTTCCACCACCTCTGCGTAGGAGCCTAATGCACGGCGCACGGACCAAATCGATCAGAGATAGCCGAGCTTCTCTTTCACTCATTTGAAGGGAAATATGTGTTTTGAAGGCACACTGAAGTTTCCGAAGGTGTATCCTCACAATGGCACATAAGGAGTCAATTTTTCGGGTGGGTCAGAGGGTGGCGCATCTGTGACCCATCTAAAATATCTCCTGAACTAGTGGGTCTTCAGAAAAACTGTAAAGCTTATTGGAAAGAGAAAAGATGGAGGGGTTTCAGGACGACTTTAATCCTGATGAAATTGCGTTTGAACGAAGCAATCCTCGCGTGAAGCATGGAAACCAGCTCGCGATTTACCCCTAGCCTATCCAAAACCCGGAATATTTCACCAACGGGGGATTGTTCAGTTTGCAACTAGGTAGAATACACAACAGTAGAAACTTTGCCGTTGCATGCTGCTCACCATTCCTCAAAAGCTCCGCACCTAAAAAAGATATAACCCCCCCCCCGAACAGACCCCAGGACGTTGGCAAGTCCAACAACCGCGCTCCAATGACGTTTTTCCAAAGAAAGCGGTCGCAGCCTTGCGCCCTGCAGCCTGATCGATAATAGCCAAGTATGGAACGATTTACTGCCGGCCTGGTTATCCTTTTTTCATTTAGCTCTGCATTTTTTGTATTTTCCATGTTTCGCTTTGTTGTGTCGTGCTGTTTTCATTATTTCCCCGTCACCATTCATTGAATGCACATCTGGGCCCTGACACGCTCACCTTGGGGCTATTTTTTCACCAATTCAGCCTATCAATGATCACCATTAGCCGCTATTTCAATTGTGTTCCTTGTTACAAGTTGCATGTCATACATAGTTATCGAACGAGTTTTATTTTGAATCCTAAGACAAAATTGTAGGTAATGCGAGGCTGTTGTTCAGCCTCATATTGCATGAGGCTGAAACAGCCTTTTATTTCCTGTATTTTAGAGCAGAGTGCGCCTTTCGAGAATCCAGATTCCATTTCAGGAAGTCATTTGTGGTGAACATTGTTGCATCTGGTTGCTCAAAATAGCAGCAGGAGGGGCGGGGGGGTTGTACCTGGACCCTCGTCGATTGGGGCGGGGGGGTCGTACCCACACCGCATTTGACACATCGCAATGCCGCACTATCCACCACTGTGACATGATTTCACAGTGGTAATTGTGCGGCATTGTGGCCTGCAAATGCAGGGTGGGTGAGTGATAGCTAGTGTGATGAAAGAGTATCATGTACACGTCACGCACACATGATTGACGATATCAACAATGCAAACGAAATACGGAAGGATCAAATTTACGAAATAGTCGGGGTTGAAAACATGTGCATCGACCTAATATTTCTTTATTGAGTACAATTTTAGGCACTATTTACCCTTTACTGCTCCAATCATCCGAAATCAGGACAAATTATTGTACCGAATTTTTTTTTTGAGTTGGCCAATAATTCGTCCTCTAGAATACTTTGACCTCGTGAACACGAATATCTCATTCGCTTGTACGAAGACCTCCTGGCCGAAATAGATCACCGTACTTGCCGGAAACTCGTTCCCAGTTGCAGTGTGTGCCCTCCTGAACACAAATATTACATCTGTATGGATTATTAAAAAAAATGTTAAGGATGGAAGGGGGGACACGTGGTTGTTCTGTGTTTATCTGTTTTGCTCCTATTCTTCATCCTCCCTGCAGTGTAGAGGATTTTCAGTAAGGACTTATCCCACTTGGGGGGCTCTTGCTAATGTCGTAGGATTTGAAATCTTTTATGGGCGCAGTTCGACTTGGTGGGGGCATCTTGCTGATTTCCATTGATCACTGCCGATGTCTTCTGAGAAGACCAGTCAATTTCTGTAAAGCTAAGCTATAGCATAATTTTACATTACTTTTGGCAAAACCCACAAGTCTGTGGTGGTAGACGTGTATCCTAATAGGAACTAGCGAAAGCGGCGGAGGGCGCGGTTCGGCGACGAGGGGGGGAGGGGCATTTTGCGTTCCGGTTTGCATACTTTACCTGATGAGCCGTGTGAACTTCCTGTGAGGCTAAAGCATTCATTGAGCCCACAATGGCTGGTACCTGTCGTAAATAGTGGATAGGGCTCTCTAGATGGCGGACACGTCGATATAATGTAGCAAAAGTGCGAAACGCCCATCCCCCCTCGCTGTGATATATATGCGCCGAACAGCGCCCTGTCGGAGCCACCGTCCACACCGCCCTCTTCTTGAGTCAAACAGCGCTCCTTTTCTGAATAGTCGCTAACGGTGCATTTCTTGCTCCAGTCTCGGATTGTGTTTTTTTGTAGCAACGATTCATTGAGGAATAAAAAAAATAAAACAGGGTCCTAACATTCGGGCGAAGTTGCCCTTTGTCAAATGTCCGTCTAAAGACAAAAGACTGGGGCTTTCCTGAGCAATGGGGAAATGACGCTAATGCGCCTATGTCGCATTTCAGTTGCTGTAACTCGCCAGTTTCTCCTATTTTCTCCCTGTGAGTGTAGATTAGCCTTTGGCGAAGAATGTCGCGCCTCAGTATGGAGAGGAATTTTCATGTTAGCTTTTCTGTATACTTTCAGTCAACACGAGATCTTCATGCACGAATTTCGGAGCTGGAGCAAAGGGAAGGACGCCTTGTCATAGAGATGAGAAGGGAGATGAATAATAGAAGTTGGTACCATTTGAACTGAAATCTTTTACAGCCCATCCTGTAGCTCATGTCTTGATATATGGTCGTTATTTTACAGTTTCTGAAATGGAAGCCGAAATGCAAAAGCAGCGTAGTAGAACTATAGATGTTGTAGCAGAGAAGGAGAGAGAGCTTGAAGCGGCGAGGTGATTGACTTTTTTCAGTTCCCACGTCTGATAGTGTTCTGTACTACTTCTCGCCTTCAGTGATGTAGGCTTACAAGAGAAGTTTGTCAGCTTAGCATGGAACCGTTAAATGGAGACCTAGGTGATTTTATCTGGAATGACGCTTACAAATATGGGATACAAAATTGCTGCCTGCATTTCACAAGCGGGTCATAAGTAGGCGAAACCCCCGAATTTATTTAGGGCTGCTCATCAGGATGCTTGTAGCATGGACGCTAAATGGATGTGATAGCCGTGTTAAGAAGGTCAAACCACCTAGTAAGGAGATTCCTAGGGTCGATTTTTTTTAAGGCCACCTGTATCACCTGTATCACCTGTGCTCCCGTTGATCATCGAGTTCCTCGAGCGGGCGCCAGTAACGTCTCCATTCGTCCCTGCAACGTGCAAGAGTTGCCCAATGAACTCTCTCAGCTCGAGGGACACGATGAACTTCATACCATTCGTTCAGAGCTTTCACGAAGAAGTCTGACCATCGCATAGGCGGTCGTCCAGGCGTTCGCTTGACATCCCGTGGAATCCAGTCGGTGACTGCTCTGGTCCAGCGGTCGTCCTCGAAACGCATGACGTGTCCGGCCCACCTGATCTTCGAAACCTTGGCAAATGCGGCGGCGTCTCTGATCTTCGATCGTTGGCGGAGTGCGGAGCTCCGGATTCCCTCTCTCACTTGCGTGTAGCGGGAAACTCCGAGCATCGCCCTTTCGATGGCGCGTTGAATAACGCCGACCGCATGCTCATCCTGCTTTCGTAGAGTCCAAGTCTCTGAGGCGTACGTCAAGGCAGGAAGGACCGCGGAATCGAAGAGGTGGGCACGGAGCTTGGTGTTCTTCGTCTTCTTCGCTACTCCCTCGATGTTCTTGAAGGCTCCCCAAGCCGCTCGCTTCCTCCTGCTCAGCTCTGGAGCTAGGTCATTCATCATATTGATTTCACGACTTAGG